GCGTCTCTAAGTACTCCAGGAGTAATTTCGGCGGTGACCCATCAATCGGACTCACTTGAATGCAGGTTGATGTGTCTGGACTCTGTGCTGAGCCCTGGGAATAAAGAGAGAGACTCTTGCCCTCAGCATGCTCACGATCCCCAGGAAGGGGGAGATCACTCATTCATGTATTCAAATCAAAAACTACTCACCACCTCCTGAGTTGATGAAAACAAAAACCCTAACTCAGTGTGCTAAATGTTCTAACCAGGCAATGTATAAGACCCTAAGGTGGCTGGGGTGGAGCTCAGTGGTAAAGAAAGCGCTTAGCACGCTGAACGCCCTCGGTTTGATCCCCAGCACACAAAAGCAAAAAGCAAAGCCACCCTACGGAAACACCAGGATGGGATAGACCCTAACTGTAGTTAATGCCTACTCATTTATTTGTGTCGCTGTTTCACTCTTAGTAGTGTAGCTTCATGTAGTGTTAACATGAGCTCTATGAGATAGAGATTATATTTACTGTACAGATGAGGCAATGTGAGGTTCAGAAAGGCCACCTTACTTGTCCAGAGTCACCCGGGCGGTAGAGAACCCGCAGAGTTGGGGATCACATCCGGGTTCTCTGCCAGGGCACCCTGTTGCGTGATGCAGTGAGGCGGTTCTCCACCTTCCTCTCTGGGCTCCTTTGTAAAAGAAATGTCCCACTATTTTTGCTTTTTGTTTATTGTAAAATTTTGTTACTATTATTACTTTGTGGTACTGGGAATTGAACCCAGGACCTCGCACATGATGGGTAAGTGCTCGTTTCAGGCCTCACACTATTTTAATATTTTTAAGACAAAGCGAGTCTGACATGAGGCCCCTGGCTGGAGGAAATGAAATTCCAGTGAGTTTTGGTGCTGCTGTCCTGTGACCTCAGGTTGGAGAAAAGACCCTCAGACCACTCAGGGTATCAGTCCACACTTGCTCTTGACCCCATGGTCCCTAGAAGTGGTAGCCCAGCTGTCCCTTTTGGCGAGGGAATCTGTCCCAGTCCTTCCCGCGGAGCTCCCTACACCCAGTCTCTAACTGGGCGGGTGCCCAAGCAGGCGGCCTCAGGGCAGGCGGCATGGGTCCTTCAGCCCCCACTTCCTTTCTTCGGGGATGCCTGCCCTTCCCTCACTACTCCCGCTCCTCCTCCTCACCCCTCTGACTGCTGAACTTCTGGAAAGTCGCAGGGCATCCGAGATGGAGCAGTGCACTACGGGGTGCTTGTGTTGGAGGAGCAAGACAGAATAGACGCAAGAGAGAGAGATCCAGGGGAGGAGCTGGAGGAGGCTGGGGAGCGCGTAGATTGCAGCTATCCGTGCAGGAGAGAGGGAAGGGAAAAGGTTAGGGAAGCCATGGGTTCCAGACTGCACTGCGGTGCAGGGCATTTTGCCATGCCAGTGGTGCCTCGTGGAGAAAAGGGACTGCTTCGTTCACGTCCCTGCTGTGCTCAGCCCTGGGCTGCGAGCGCCCTGTGAGAAGCACGGTCCGCATGCCCACGCCAAAGCGGCCGCGGAGTCAGCGTGGCAGCTGGCGTTATCTTTTTTCCCCATTTTTTCCCTCTATTGTCTTTTTTTTCAGTTCCTTCCTTTTAGAGTTCTCTTTAATGTAGCCCCCAAAGCCCCACAGTGCCTAAGAATATTAATCTTTATTACTGTCCATGGAAAGTGCCTGCATGCGTCTAGATGCCGAGCTTATGACTGATAACGGTTACAGTAATAGCAACGACAATAGTATTTACCATTCATTAACCACGGACCAGTCCAATTATTTAAATGCCCGGTGGCCAACAATTTCATACTTTTGTTAATTTCTGTAAGATAGTGTAACATGAAATATAAAAATGACAATTTTATCAAAATCCAATAATTTTTCTGTGTATGGTGTATCTTAACAGAATCAATACATTCTGTTAAGATCAATCCATTATGGATAGTTGCACAAGGCAATGTTATAGCCGGGACAGTTCTATCTGGTCTCTTTCTGAATTATTTTTGCATTATTGTCTTTCTTTGAATAGCACACTGTACACAGTAGTGTTGGCCTTTCCTATTCTTCTGTGGGTGGTGGAATTTCACTGAAGAGTCTGCCCTTTAAAAATAAAGGCAAGGCCAGGGATTTAGCTCACTGGTGCAGAGCCTGCCTGCCAAGTGTGAGGTCCTGAGTTCGAGTCCCAGTACCCACCGCCTGAAAAATGTAAAGGTGATGATAGTGATGATGGGCGTCCCGGTTGGCATTTTGCTATCTCAGATTTTTCAAGAATTTGATCTTTTGGACAAATCTAGATTGTAAATGACTTTTTGAACCCCCTTGATTTGGATAAATGACAAATGACCTCCCTATTGTTTTGTCCAGAAGGTGCATAAGTATTTTATAATATTTTTCCTCACTTTTTGACTACAAGATAGCTTATTAGATATTGGTCAATTCTGTCAACACTATCCATAGAATTATTATAATCATGGACCATGACTGCAAGTTTTTAAGTTTTATTTCTTCTTTTAAGTTCTATCATTTCTCCATTATGGATAGTTGACAATAGCTGTCTTTTTTGTCTTTCTCATAACACAGACGTTTTCTCTCTGATACGCTAACACTTCGCCCTTTCTCAGTTTTTATTTTGCAAATCTTTTGGAACTTCCTTCCTGTTCAGTCTCAGTGTCCTGAACATGTCCATTTTGCATTGTAAAAGAGTATCACTGAGTTCTGAAGAAGTATAAAAATTATGTCCAATGTAATTAGGGTAAGAATTTTTATAGATCCTGGCACAATATTGTAGGCTACTTTTCACAAATAATAAGCTCAAATTAGTAAAAAAAAAAAAAAAAACAACAAACCCAGAACTTATTTATTAGATTTCATTAGAAACAACATCAGAGGCAAACACAACATTCTAAATAAAAAGGTATGCAAAACGTAGTCGAAATGAAACAAATACACAGACTTGCGAGTGTAGCTCATGCAAACAAGAATCTACTGGTTGAAATGGCACCTGCCTGAGTGATGCTTGGGGTAGTCAGTACCGAAACACACGCTCGGCCGGAGTGATGCTCAGGGAAAACTGTGAGGTGGTTAATATAAAGCTCTTCCATGCTCCAGGCACCTTACTAAATCATTTACATGTGTCCATCGTCAACAACCGTCTGAGCTATTGTGATTAGCCTGTTTAGGATGGAGACTACTACAGGAAGAACTGTATCCCCTCTTCTCAAATTTTATTTTGAAGATCTAATCCCCAGTACTTCAGAGAATGGTTGTATTTGGAGACAGGGCCTTGACAGAGATAATTCAGTTAAGAAGTGGTCGTTAGGGGAGGCCATAGCACAAATGACTGCTTTACTTGTAAGAGGAAATTTGGACAGAGGGAAGATGATTGAAGAGCTACCAGGAGCAGGTGGCCACCTGCCAGCCAAGGGCAGAGGGCTTGGAAGAAACCAACTCTGCCATCACCTTGGGGTTGGACTTCTGATCTCCAGAACTGTGGGAAAACCCGTCTCTATCGCTTAAGCCAACCAGTCTCTGGAACTTTGTTATAGATAGCTCCTCCCGCCTTTTTGGCCTCTTGGCATGGATTTCAATGAACTCTGCATCACCCAGTAAATTTGTCTGCTCATATGTGTGTCTGTCTTCCTCACTAGCCTGAGTGCTGAGGGAGGGCAGACAGCACGTCACACCCACTGTCACTTAGACGGTGCCTGGCGCACTGAGAGGTCATTATCTATGAGCCGAAGTGACTTCTACACATGTGCTTTCTCTCTACGTGAGCTTTGCACCTTGGCGTAAGAAGCTGCCAAGATTGTCTTCTGTATGGATTGGCGAACAACTTATTTGTGTTTTGATCTCTTCCATTAACTACTGTATTAGTAGTTTATTACTGATTTTAAAGTTTATGAAAACTGGTAAGTTTTGCTTATGTTTCTTTACAAAAACTTGGACAATAATTGGGTTATTGTCCCAGCACCTTCAGGAAGATTATAGTATGTGAAAGGGTATAAGCAGCTCCTTTTGTAACCAGCTATATTCTGTTGGACCAATTAATCTTTTTGTTGAAGAAGAGGGGGAATTCACTACAATGGACATGCCCCATTCTGAACCTGTGGAAGTCAGTGAATAATCCCACCATTTGGATAAAGTTTGCCAGGGGATCACTTCCTTAGAAGAATCCCTAAGGAAGAAAGTATCCACAACCAACTGGGTGTGTGTTGTGATATTAAATATACTTCCTATCTCCTACTTTATTAAAAGAAAACTTAGAAAAAGACTCAAGACTTTTTAAAATTAAGACTTAGAAAAAGAAGAAAGGAAAGAACCCATAAATCGTTTTATTTTTTCTTATCTATCTTTGAAGCAAGCTTCAGGTGACCCTAACACTAAGGTCAAGTGCAATAGTTAGCAGGGCCGTGCAATAGTTAGCAGGGCCGTGCAATGTGATGACTCCTTAACCTTTTAGCAAGAAGTCAATACAGCATTAACATTCAGGACACAGACTCTGAACGTGGGCTCACATCCCACCTCAAATCTACCAAGCGCCATGACAACACTGTCTGCCTGGTGGGGTTGTGTATTTTTCCAGAACATCAGTAATTTTAACCATTAGGATTGACTTTAATAATGATGATCATGGTAATTTTTACTTTTGTTTATTTTGATTAGTGAATATTAGTTATATAGATTAATGGATTTAATTTTGGCAAATTTGTATATGGATGTAACACATTTTGATTGTTTCTACCTATACCCCCAATGAAGATGATAATTTTTTTTTGGTACCGGGAATCGAACTCAGGACCTTGCACTTGCCAGGCAGGTGCTTGTGCTGCTGAGCTAGATCCCCGGCTTGATGATGATAATTTTTAAAAATGCAAACTGCATCCGACTTTAGGTTTTCTTTTTTTTTTTTCTTAATATGTGTACTTTTCCTTTTTGCTTAGTATACATTTATTTTCCTTAATCCTGGCTTTTTTTCTCTGTTCATTCTTTTTCCAATGTAGAAAACTTGATGGGACCAACGAGGAAGAAGACAACATAGAGCTGAACGAGGAGGGGAGGCCCGTGCAGGCGTCCAGGCCGGCCCGCCCGCTCTGTGACTGCCCCTGCTGCGGGGTCCCGAAGCGCTACATCATCGCCATCATGAGTGGGCTGGGCTTCTGCATTTCCTTCGGGATTCGGTGCAACCTTGGCGTGGCCATCGTGGAAATGGTCAACAACAGCACTGTCTATGTAGATGGGAAACCAGAAATTCAGGTCCGTATCCATCTAGGACAGTTTCTTCCCCATGTGTAGTTGTGTAGATGCTTTGCTACACGAGGCTACTGCAGTTCATTCACTGGGGTGGCGAAAGGGGAAACTGACCACCATGCTCTGGACCCTGTGCATGACCATGGGGAGAGAAGGGTGAGCCGCACAGACAGGGCCCTTGTCCTCATGGAGACATACAGTCAGTGGTGACAATTTGGGGCTCAGGGTGCCGTACTCAGGGTTTAAAGGACCCTTGGGCTCATCTGGGGGAGGGTCCAGCCCAGACTTTGATGGTGTGAGAGAATTCTCAGAGAAAGTGATGGCTGGACCAGACAAAGAGAGTGTTTATGGGGCTGGAAGAAGAAGGAAGAAAAAGCAACGACGTGTATGAAGGGCTGCAAGGGAGACACAGATAGAGAACTCGCTTAAGGAACTGTGACGTGAACACTTTACTTTTCTGTACCACGAACACCTCTGGCAACCCGGTGATAATTTATGAACACTCTGGCAGCGACATTCATTGTGTATTTTTTTAAAAAATCGCACCTCATAAAGATTTTTAAGGAAGGGGACTCCAGAGCTACTTCAGAAAGTGGCAAGAATGATGGGATGAGTGTGTTCAAAGTGAGGTGGACTAATCAGAGGAGGATTTAGGGCAGTGTGTTTTTTACTGTAACAAATTTTTAAAATTTAAGCACTTGTTGTGTATTCTGATTGCCTCTATTATATTCCACATGCTCTGGAATGACTCCTGTGAAAATCTGTCCATTTGCAGAGAAGCATCTAATAGTTCTGGGATCCCTTTCCATATCTGGAGGCCAGAGTCCCCTAAACTGGTGCCTGGGAAATCACTGGTTTGCAGGCCACACTTTGAAAAATATTGGACACTGTGGAGCCCATATTGCTGTGTCCCATATGACTCTCCTGGGGACAGGGGTACAGTATTTCCCGGCCTGACGTGATGGCAGGATGTGGTCTTTCATGCCGCATCTATGAGCATCACCTGGAGTGGTCTCCTGCCAAGCACTGGCTTGGGAAAATTTGCAGCTGGTGCATTAAAAAGAGGTCTTTAGTTGGCCTGAATGCTTTTTTTTTCTTTTTTAAACTAAGATTATTCTGCAGTGGAAAATAGCACCATGGAGACTGTCCTAACCAGGCTCTTTCTGATGGCACAGCCGAATCTGCCCCAAACAGATATGCTGTCACTTTTAGGGGCTGGGATAGAGGTGGAGGAGCATATCATGCCTTTTAAAAATAAGGAATGATGTATATTAGCAAGGTTGCAGATGTGTATCACATGTATTCTGTCAGCCTTTTGTGAGCATGGCCAGCTAATTAAAACTTGTCTGCCGAGTCTGGGATCAAAATGAGATGCTGTTTTTGCGTTTGTTTGTTCCTGAAAAGATAGGCCAGGTCAATAGAGTCTCCTTTGAAGCATATGGAATGGCATTTCAATAAAGTCCAGGAACAATGGAGTGTGTGCTCTCTGCTTTCTAAGGCTTTGCCCTCTGGAGTTTTAGAGGAACTGATGAGGGACTAAAGGGTGCTTTACAGGGTTCTCTCTGGCTGCTAGCATAGGAAGTTGGTAGCATTTTGGAGGCTCTAGTACAACTTCAATTTGTGGCAGGCCCTTTCTCTCTTGCCCAAGTAGAACAAAGTTTAGGTATCAGCTGAGCAGCCTACAAGGGGCTCTGAACGGCTGACATTTTTTTTTTTTTTCCCAGTACCGGGAATCGAACTCACGACCTTGCGCTTGCCAGGCAGGTGCTGTGCCGCTGAGCTAAATCCCCAGCCCCGGCTGACATTTTTGTCTGTTTTGTTTTATGGGAAAATTAGATTCTTCAGAGTCCTTTTTTTTTTTTATATATATATATAATACTAGGATTAGATCCAAGGCTTTCACATTGAACCACCCTCACCTGCTTCTTTTCATTTCTATTTTGAGACAGGCTTTTTGCTAAGTCACTGAGCTGTCCAGGCTGGGTTTGAACTTTTGATCCTCCTGCCTCTGCCTCCTAGACTGCTGGTATTACATTTATGTGCTACCATGCCTGGCTTAGAATCCCCATTTTCAAAAGAAGGAGAGAAGCAGGTGTGGATAGGGAGGTCTTACAACAATACATGGCCTATATTCTACAAGGGGCATGAAGGGTGATGTTAACTCATGTGTAGATAGTTACTTTTTCATTTAATAATTATAAGGTTGGGAATGTTGCTCAGTGGTATGCGCTAGGACCCAGGTTCAATCCCAACACAAAGAGCAAAAGAAAGGAAAGGAGAAAGGGACAGAGGGAGAGAGGCAGGGAGGAAAATTGTGAGTTACAACACATGAAGCAACTGGGTGTGGTGGTACAGCCTGGCATCCCAGCTACTCAGGAGACCGGGGACAAGGACCACAAGTTGGAGTCCAGCCTGGGCAGTTTATTTTATTTTATTCTATTTTATTTTATTTTATTTGTGTCGTTTTGAGACAGGGTCTCATTATGCAGTTCAGGCTGGCCTTGGGCTCACTTTTTAGCCCAGGCTGGTCTCGAACTCACAACGATGCTCCTGCCTCAGCCTTCTGAGTGCTGGGATTGCAGGTGTGTGCTACCACGCCTGGTGTTCAGCCTGGGCAATTTAATAAGACACTGTCTCAAAATAAAAGAATGTTTGGGAATGTACCTCAGCAGTAGAGTGCTAGCCTAGCATAGTCAAGGTCTTTGGTTCAATCTCCCGGACAACATACGAACAAAATGAGCAAGGAGCACTTAGTGTCTCACATATGGGAAGAAACAACAATGACTGAAGGTTGACAATCCTTGTGATTCTTTCTCATTCCCCTCAGGAGAAAATATCCAGAGTCCTTTTCGTGGGTATTCCATCTTGTAAGTGAAGAGAGTGGGCCTTGGAATTGGCTAGAGCTTCTGAATGCGCCTGCTGTTTGCGTCCCAGAGCTGAATTTGTGAGCCTTTGCCTTGCCAGGGACTGATGTACTTGCCTCTGATGCTGTGGAACTTGCTTCAGTTCAAGGATTTACTGCTGTACTACTATTGAACTCTGTGTGTGTGTGTTTATGTGTGTGTGTGTGTATGTATGTGTGAGAGAGACAGAGAGACAGAGAGAGACACACACAGAGAGAGACAGGGAGAGAGACAGAGGGAGACAGAGAGACAGAGAGAGACAGAGAGAGGGACAGAGAGACCTCCCAGTGGTCAACAGGGGAGAACCCCACAGAGGGGAGGTGGGGGTGGAGGCCTCTCAGAAGGAAGTGTACACAGTGAGACAGGAACCAGACTGCCTAGCAATTCTTTGCTAACCCTCATTGTAAAATAAAAAGAGCACTTTGTAGATCAAATGAGATGATTTGTATTAAGTACCTGTATTAGGTTCCTAAGACTGCAGTAACAAATTACCACACACTTGATGGTTTAACACAAGCGAAATTTATTCTCTCATGGTTGTGGAGACCAGAAGTCTGAAACCAAAATGTCAGCTGGGCCTCCCTTCCTCCCGTCTGTAGCGGAGAACACGTCCTTGTCTCAGTCAGCTTCTGGAGGCTCCCAAATTCTTGGTTTGTGGCTGCATCAGTCCGTCTCTGCCTCAGTCCTCACATGGCCTCCCCCTGCCTGTGCGTCTTCTCATCTGCCTCAGATCTCCCCTGCCTTTCTCTTCTGGAAGGACGCTTGTCCCTGGTTGAGAGCGCAACTGACTAACCCAGGGTAGCTCATCTCAAGATCTCTGGTTTTTTCGTATCTGCAAAGAACCATTCTCCAAAGAAGGCAGCATTTACCTTTGCAGGGATTTGATGTGGGTATCGTCCCTTGTAGAGAGGAGGTTTTATTCTTTGATGATGATAGTTTGTGTTTCACGTGGGCAACTTAGCAGAGACCCTGTCTAAAAAAAAAAAAAATAGGTGTGAGCTATAGCTCAGTGAAAGCCGTGGGTTTCATCCCCACTACCCCCACCAAAACAAAATAAAAACAATAAAACAAAATCAAAACAGAAAAGAAAATGTATGAGTGTTCCTGTTGCTGGGGCGGAATACCAGATGCGGTAATTTAATGGAGGAGAGTTTCATGAAGGCAGAAGCAACATGGTGAAAGGGCCGGGCTGCAACTCACCAGGGCGGCCCGCAGGAAGCAGAGAGAGAAGGGAGGAACCGGGGAGAGTGATGCGCTTCCCAAGGCGGCGGCCCATCTCCTGGGCCCAGAGAGCTCCTCCGGCAGCACGTTTAGCCACGAACTCACCAGTGGATCAGTCCCTGGTGGGCACAGTGCCTCAGTATCCAATCACCTGCCACGCTTGTGAGATGGCTGTTGCAGGGGTTCTAGATCTAAACCGCCACAGAAAAAAATGCTTAACACGAGAGCCACGCTATGGATACATTTTAAGGCATATAATACCTTATTTTTAACTCTAAGTACAGGGTTGTATAGCATATCTCTAGAGCTTATTCATCTTGTTTTACTAAAACTTTCTGCCCACTGAATAATCCCATTCCCTCTCCCTCTAGTCTCAGACAACCGCCAATCCACTCTCTGATTCTACGAATGCGATCTTTTAGAGACCTCGTGTAAGTGGGACCATGCATTATTTGCGTTTGTGTGACTGGCTTATTTTCCTTAGCATAATGTCATCCAGGCTCATCTAAGTGTTGCGTATTACAGAATTTCCTTTCTCTTTAAAGGCTGAAGAGTATTCCATTAAATGTGCAAAACACATTTTCTTTATCCATCAGTCAGTGGACTTCTGGGTTGTTTCCATATGCTGGTTGTAGTGAATAGTCAGTGAAGATGAGAGTAGGTATCTCCAAGACCCTGATTTCAATTCTTTTGGGTAAATACCCAGCAGTTTGATCACTGAAACATATTTTTAGTTTTCTGAGGCTCTACCATTCTGTTTTCCATACTGACAGCACCATCCTACCTCGCCACCAACAGTATATAAGGTGTCCACTTTCCCCACATTTTCACCAACACTTGTGGTATTTATTTATTCCGTGGATAATGGCCGTCCTAACAGGTGTGAGATAGTATCTTATTGTGGTTTTAACTGGCATATTCCTGATGGTTAGTAACCTGGGACGTCTCTCCATACAGCTGTTGGCGATTTGCATGTCTTCTTTGGAGGAATGTCTGCTCAAGTCTCTAGTCCACTGTTACGGTTTTAGGGGTCTCTAATGATGATCAAAGTCAGTGCTTAGCAGCCCTAAGTGTGTCTCATCTGGTATCATTTCTGCTGGGGAATGACAGAGGCACAGTGTCCTCGTAGAGAAAGGTGATGCGATTGACATTAGCAGCTGCATGAAGCAGACAGACTGTGTTTGTTATGCCCGTTAAGAAAACAGCGATTTGGGCTGCTGGAGTAGCTTGGAGGCGGAGCAGTTGTCTAGCATGCAGATACTCCTGGGTTGGGTTCCCAGCATTGCAGGGGAAAAAATTGCATAAGAATTGAGCGACCTAAGGTTTGGATTCCTTTCATGCTATCACGAACTGATATCTGAATGGTATAGAAAATCACCTAGTAACCCTAGAACTTAATTTTCGTTTTTCTCACAAGGTGTTTATTCTCCTTAGTGCTCGTCACTAAGGTGTTCAGTGTATCACATTTTACATATAACTTAGTGCTTAGCTCTCCTTTCTCTCATAGAAGTTGAGGTTCATCCTGCAGAGGGACTTTGGTATCCTGAGTCTGTGAAATGCCTTCCAGAAATTTTTGTTGACAAAAGGAAGGAAAAAGGGACCTCATGGGGTGATTACGGGGGTTCATCAGTGAAACACGCTGGTCAGTTGTTTTCTTACGAGCGCAACCATATCTGATTTCTTGTTTGCAGACAGCACAGTTTAACTGGGATCCAGAGACAGTGGGCCTTATCCATGGATCTTTTTTCTGGGGCTATATTGTGACGCAAATCCCAGGTGGTTTCATTTCAAACAAGTTTGCTGCTAACAGGTAAGGTGAATTGATTTATCATGAGTGCTACCTGAGTTATCATGCGACTTGGTGCCTTTAGGAAATCTGCGCAGTCGGTTCTCAGTTTAGAGGTGCAGAATGGAAAAAGAGGAGCAATCCAGATAGCGCAATGGAACCTGACCCCTCACTGGCTCACTGAGTTACCTCTACTGAGTCACATCCCTCCTTCCCTGGGCCTCAGTTTCCTCATCTGTGAAATGGAACATTAGATTAAATTGTGCTTTAACCAGTGACATCCTGTGATCTTCTGTACTTACATTAATATTACCTTCAACCATAAATGTTCTGCCTCGTGTGCACGAAGAGCTTGCCTCCAGCCTGTAAGATGTGTCGTTAACACTCTTCAGGCTCTATAGGAGGTGTTTAAGCAATTAAGTGTCCAAGAACAGAATGGGCTATTTCCATAAGCAGTGAGTTCTCTGTTGTTAGAGGTATTCAAGCACAAGAGGATGGCCACTTGGGGGAGACGTTGTAGGATGAATCATGTACCAGAACAGGTGCATACAATTTCAGGTCCTTTCCAATGTATTTATTTCTCACATGACTTTACATAAATCTTTTTCATGGAGTATATTGCACCTTGTATACCAGGGTTTATCAGACTCTGAAATACATATTATTAGATGATTGTGAAATCAATATAGTGATTTACCAATGAGCCATTTTTGAAAAAAGAGAAAAATAGAGGAGATCATAATAAAATAGAATAAAACAGTAGAAAACATCTGAGTGCACTGCATGTAAGGGTAGGTGTTGGATTTTGAAACTTGACTTGCACGTGTGTGTGTAGACTGGGAGGCAATATACACATATTTTAAGGGTCAGTGTCAAAAAATTTGAATGCCACTAACATAAGATCCAAATATGTATGAATATGACTGTCTTTACTTATGTTCTTGTCTAATTTGTATTTTTAATTTATTGCTATTTGCTTATTTTATTCTTTTAAAATGTGTTTAAACGTTGGCTGCTCTGGTCCCCTTGGGTACTGCTTACAGCTCTGCTTTAAAAAGAAATCGCACCTAATCTGACTTCCCTGATGAACAAAGCATTGGTGTGTCATCAGCATGCAGGGGAAGGGCAGGGAATGTTGCTTGCTCTTTTTTCCCAGGATACACTGGGCCAATCAGAGGGCAAAGGTGAGCGGTACCAGCATGGCAGGGAATAGGATGCTCAGACAAAGACACAGTGTGACTTGTGCTTGGCTGCCTCTGGGTCATACGATGCTTTTTGGATAATCAGTATCTCTTTATGGCAGACCCAGAGCAGTATGGGAAGCAGGAGGCAAAACTCCAAAGATGTGGAAGTCATAGAAGGAAGGGCCGCTTGTGTGGGACCAGGGCCTCCAGCAAGGTCACCTCAACCTAGTCATTCTGCAGCTTTCTAGGACATCATCTAGGCAGGACATTGTTATATTGCCATAGAAGTATCAATAGTGGGCCCAGGGCCTGGAGCGTGGGAATCAAAGCAGCCTAGGGGTCTAGCTTGGGGCACATCAGACCTCAACACACCGTCTTTTTCAGTGAACTAATTTCTCTTCATTTTAATAAAGATCTTTCATGGTCCGTTAGACTCATTTTTGAGATTTAAGTGACCATCTCATCTATTACTGACCTGCCCAATAACACAGTGCTTTGGTCTCCTAGGGTCTTTGGAGCCGCCATCTTCTTAACATCGACTTTGAACATGTTCATTCCTTCTGCAGCCAGAGTGCATTACGGCTGCGTCATGGGCGTGAGGATTTTGCAAGGGCTAGTGGAGGTAGGAGATACACTTTCCTCACAGTTTTGCGTATTGCCAGAGACAGCATGGTTCTTTAGAAAATCCAGGTTCCGGAGAAAACCCCTTTTACTCTGTTTTCCTATCTCCCGCCTTGTCCTGCTGTCTCAGCTCTCTGGTGCTGGCTATTTTAATTAAATAGCACTGTGAATATTTTAATTAAAATGCCTTGTGTGATTTTGCATTTAAATATAATAAAGGATCATCCATTCCATAAAGATCTTAGACGTGATCTAATACAACCATCTTTATTTTAATAGAGCGTGAAACTGAAGCCCCTAACTTACAAGTCCGCATATCAAAGGCTCATTCTTTTAGTGAAGGCAATTTAAGTGCATTTATTAAGAATGCGTACACTTCTAAGCATGTGGGCTGATGTGAAGGTTTTGTTAGCTAGAAGGTGGAACATAGTGTAGAATCTGGATGTAAAAATCTTGGGCTTTGCAGCCGTACAATGTCTGCTGCTGGTCTCAGGGCTGCTGTTATAGTGCAAAAGCAGCTGTAGACAATATGCAAACACACAGGCCTGGCTGTGTTCTAATAAAAACTTTTATATGTTGAAATTTGAATTTTGTATACTTTTTGTGTGCTCATGAAATAGTATTTCATACTGATGCTTCTTCAGACCTTTTTTTTTGGGTCATTTTGAGATAGGGTCTCACTATGCTGTTTGCCACCACACCCAGAAAGAATTTTTAAGTAAGGAGAAACAGAAATCCTCTGGAGGGGTGGGGCGGTTTCTTTCGGAGAATAATTCACCCTTGCCAAGAAGCTTAGGCACCCCTGGGATTCGAACCCAGGATCTCTTGTTTACTAGAAAGGTGCTTTAGCCAGCTAAGCTACAGCGCCGGCTTCCAGACCACTTTAAAATGTACAAACCTTCCAGACTGTACTAAAACAGATGGCGTGTCTAACTGGGTCATAGCTTGCCAATTCCTGATGTAGAACAACATTCCCCAAACTCTGACATTCACCTCTAACCATCAACATTTTGTTATTCTGTGTACAACTTGCCTTACTATTTGCTTACTATTTTTCTCCTAGATCAACTCCATTAAAAAACAAGAATCAAAGCCACATGTCACTGTAAACAACGGTATCTTTGAAATCGTGGATCTGATGTGCATGTTACACTTGTGTCTAAAGTGTATTAACTATATATGTAGGAATTATAGTTAAGAGTGTGAACTGTCATGTCTCAAATCCATCTCTAGCCCCACTGGAGGGACAGTATTTGCTTTCACAAATACTGTTGTGGTGGAAAAGCTATGACATGAGCAGCTGAGGAGGTGAGTACTGAGACCTGGCACTTAATGACTGTGAGCCTCAGCTTCCGTGGCTGCACATGAGATGAAGTGGAATGATGTGGAAGCGCCTTCCTCCGCTGATGTTCTTGATAATATGCAATATAAACCTAAAGAACTCCCTCTGATTCCCCACCACGCTTGCATTTGAACTGTATCTGAATTTTAGTATCTGTGCTAGGCATCCACATAGCTGGATGATGCCATCCTGTGTTTGTTTTAGTCTGTTCGGGCTTCCTTAAAAGAATACCATAGACAGCAGAAATTTACTTCTCACAGTTCTGGAGGCCGGGAGATCCCAGATCCAGGTGCTGGCAGATTCAGGGTGTAGCGAAGGGCAGTGAGTTGGCTCCTGGACAGTCATCTCTTGGGTCCTCACCTGGCAGACAGGGAAGGTGCCCTCCGGGAGCTCTTGTGAAAGGGCCCGGACCCTGTTCATGAGGAGTTTGCTCCCGCACTGGCCACCTCCCAGCGCCCACCCTCAAATACCACCACACTGGGGCGAGGCTTAAACACAAGGATTTGGTGGGGGATGCGGACTTTGGATCAGTAGCAGCGCTTATGCACTGGATTTTTACCTTGCAGCCCGGGTGAAGGAGAAGCAGCTACATCTTAAACACAGAGAAAAACTGGAGGTACATTTAATAACTGACTTTACATTCTTCTGCCAGGGTGTGACTTACCCAGCCTGCCATGGGATGTGGAGCAAGTGGGCGCCACCCTTAGAGAGAAGCCGGCTGGCCACGACTTCTTTCTGTGGTAAGTGAAGAACAGACTCGGCTGCGAACTCAGGTCCTAGTATTTATTCTGAGGAGATATGAAGCAAAACTTCTTCTCTGGGGACTGGTTGGCGGTGACCAGCACAATGCAGCCACTCCATTCTGGTTCTTGCCATAGCTGAAGTAGATTGTTCCGCTTTGTTGAAATTCAGGTTCTTCACCCAGGAGCCCAAATCCTTTTCCTTGCAGAGCTGGTCCTGGTAAATCTTCTGTGAGTTCTCATTTCCCTCTTTGTCTGTATGGGCCATCTGCTCTCACCTGGATGCTTCATACAGCTTTTATTAGTTTTCGTTTTATTAAATAATTCATTCTTAATGATAGTAACTCTTTCTTCTTCTTTAACCTCCTTGACATTTCCCAACATAGTTTAGCTGGCTTTCTGAGCTGTTGTGGAAGGTGGTTTGGTGCATGCATAAGTGTGCAGATTGGTCTGTGTGTGGGGAGACGTCACTGATGGGAAGATTTTACTTAGCGGCCATCTTGCTCTGGTTCTTCACCGGTCTGTCTGATTTTTCTTCTCTTAATGTTTATTTATTTTTCATAAATACATCTTTGTAGTACACATGCTTCCATTCATTTTAGGGACTTAACCTATCTTCATTCTTTTTATTCTTCCTCCCGCCCTTCCTTTTCAGATCTCTGTCTGCCTTTTCAAGCTAACATACATTTCCTAAGACAAGCTAACTTGTATTTCTTCACTGAGGGGAGATATAAGTCTTTCTGTTTCTGTGAATGTTTTTATTTACCTCTTTCTCTTCTTTAAATATTGATAATAATAAATTCTCACAGCAATTTGGTGTGAAATACCAGTGTCCTGACCTGCCTGGTGACACTGCGCTTTGGTCTCCTAGGGTCTTTGGAGCCGCCATCTTCTTTACATCGACTTTGAACATGTTCACTCCGTGTTCATTTGGAATTGCATGTGTATCAGAGATGTCTTTAAATCTTTAGCTTCTCTTGACCTTAGAAACATCTCTGGCCTCTTGTTTGCAGTTCACGAGCTTTTCTGCCCTACTACTTCACCCGATCCTTGACCTTCACTTCTTTAGAGGGTTTGTGTGTAAGACCTTTCATTTTTGATTTGACAGCAGAACTCAGAATGACTACCAGCCACTCCCCATTCTTTTGTGTGATTTTATAGCCCTAGAAGAGCTGATTGAAAGCGGTTTGTTTCTCCAGGAAAGTTAACTGATCAAAGTCACAGGCCTTATTGCATTTCCCAGCTAAGGTGTGGCCTTGTTTCAAAGAACATGAGAGGTGAAATGTTATTAGAAGGAAACACAGGCTTGGAGCTGATCAGTTCTTAATCTCAAGATACTGGTGTGAGAAGGGAACTCTAGAAAACATCTAGTCACATCTTGTTGTTTTACACGTGGGGACATGGAGGCTGGGGAGGAAAACAAGATTTAAATGCGTAGGCCTAGTGAGGACTGGGGATCCTTTCCCACCTCCCATCTGCTACTGTCCCACTCCGTGCCGCTAGTGATCACTGAGGCCTCATCTGTCCTCCCTGGGGAGCACACAAGGGGCAGAAGTGTGTCCCAGGGCAGCTGCAACGTGGGCTAAGTGTCCTATTAGGGAGTGTGCTCAAGGGGCTGTGATAAAGGGTGAGACCGGAACCCTGTCTGAAAGGGTGAGAAAGTGTTTGATAGGCAGAGAAGAAGGGCAGTGTAGGTCAGGTTGTAATTTTACCAATGAAATAATACTTACAATGGAGAATTACTGGCCATTTCTGTGGGAGGAGACAGGACTGAATTATTACACAGTAAGGGCTTTGGAGTCCCACAGACCTGAGTTCCTGTCCAGGAAACCTGTCCCTTATATCTGTGTGACCTCAACCGATTTATTTCCCCTTCCTGAGACTTGTTTTTACTGATAAAATGGGGATAATATTGGCACTAAGTCATCAGGTGGAAAGAGGGTCGCATAGACTCATGGGTACAGGACACCTAGTGCAGTAAGGGCACACAGAAAGCGACGCATCACAGTTGTTAGTTATTTTGACCCTCCCCGTCACAGATTTGCCTGCTTGTCACCTAAACCAGACCCCCTCCCTCCCTCGAAGGGCACTGGGCTTCAGACAGAAGACTACCTTCTCCTCACAGAATCAGACCTACAGCTCTTTCCTACCATATAGCCTGGAGCACTTGCCTTATTGGTTTGAGGAATTATGAGGTGTAAAAAAGTGCATTGTCATTCTGTGCATGACAAAAGCAGTAACAGTTGGCATTTGTTGTTTTGTTTTTTTCCTGTACCGGGAATCAAACTCACAACCTCGCGCTTGCCAGGCATGCGCTGTGCCACTTAGCTATATCCCCAGCCCCACAGTTGGCATTTGTGTAACCCATGATAGCTTACAAAGCACCTTCACGTGCACAGCTTAGTTTAACCTAGAACCAACCCTGGAAGATATTTCACTCCTGTCTTATCTCTGGAAGACTCTCTTTCCTAGAGGCGTCAAGCCCAGTTTAGAATGATGCAAGTTAATCCATTTTTCTGGAAGGTATTTTAATTCCCAAAAATCTTCCTCAGCATTGGACTTTGGGAGATGGAATTTCCTTTCATGCTGCTAACTTCTCTGCTACAGGAGTTTTCTCATCCACAGCCCAAGGGAAAATAGTAACTGATAAGATAGTAACTCTTCAATTCAGTTAATAGTTTGCAGGGCTGGGGTTTCCCTAGTAGAGGTCCTGGAGCTGCCGGAAGATAGGGAGGCCGGGTCACTGCCTCTGGCACTCATAATCTTGTCTAGACAAGATAAACCCCCACATACAGGCAGGTATTTACAAGGTTAAGTATTACTTACAAAGTCAGGAATATCGAAGGGTGAAATCACAACAGTTTTAAAGATCTTAATTGATGTTGCTTTAGATTCTGGAATTGGTAACGGTTCCTTTCATAAAATAGAATCATTGGGGCTGGGGATTTAGCTCAGCGGCAAAGCGCCTGCCTGGCAAGTGCAAGGTCGTGAGTTTGGTTCCCGGTACCGGAGAAAAACCAAAACCAAAAAAAAATAGAGTCGTTGTTCCAGGCGGGTTGAACAGAGAAGGTTGGGTTTTATGAATAGAGGAAGCCTAAGCAAAGCAGAAACAAAGAACCCGAAGCAGACGGGCCATTTCAAAGTTACTTTCCTTGTATATCAGCAGGGACAAGCGCACAGAATGATAGAACAGCTGGTTAGTACCTGTCACCTTTTTTTTTTTTTTTTGAGTTAGGGGTTAAGGCAGAGGGAACTTGTGCCAATTGAAACCTGCCTGTTTGGGAAGTGTGGATGTATCACTCATTTTTCCTCATTTTATTTTATTTGTTTCATTTTGTTTGCAGTCCTAGGGATTGAAGCTGGGGCCTTCAAGCTGAGCTACATCCTCAGCCCTTTTTAATTTTTTATTTTGAGACAGGGACTCTCTAAATAACTAAGTTGCCCGGCCTGGCTCAAAGTTGGTTCTTCGGCCTCACCCTCCTGGGGTTACAGGTGTGTGCCGCACACCTTGCTGTTCTAGTCTCTCTCTCTGTAACTCTTATTAATACGTGTTTGCAGTACACAATGCCTGCACTCACTGGAGGGGATTGTTACCCGCACACAACACATTTCACGTCCCTCCCCACCTCTTCTCCTCTTTTTATTTTCCCAGCATCAGATTTGTTTATTTACTATACGACCTTATACAGTTATTATCCTACACACAGATCAAAAACCAGGATAGTTAAAAACCAAAGAACATATAAAACATGTAAGACAATTATGCTAAGTCATGGTAGGTACACATTTGGATGTGTAATCTATGCTGGATTATGACACCTTTTTCTTTTCTTTCTTTTTTTTTTCCTCTAATCAGTCTTTTATTTTGTGCTTTAGTTTTTCATACATGTGCTTCAGTTTTTCATACAAGAGAAACCATGAGCTATTTAAGCTTGTGTATCTGAGTTACTTCACTTAGCATTATGGTCTCAAGGCGCACCTATTTTTCCTACAAAGTACTGAAGTTTATCCTTCATTATGGCAGAGTAGTATAAAAATACCACATTAAAAAAAATCCATTCATCTGTAGATGGACGTATAGGCTGTTTCCAAGATTTAGCCTTTATGAATTGTGCTGCTATAAACATGGGTGTGCATGTATCACTGTGGTATGATATTTTTAACCCTTTCGAGAAGATATGTAGCAAGGAAAGAGCTGGGTCAAATGGAATTTCTACTTAGTTTTTTGAGGAATCAGTTTACATTCCCACCAACGTTGGGGACGGGTTCCCTTCTCCCACAGACTCCCTGGAGCTTGTTACTGGCTGGTTTCTTGATGATAATAGCCGTTTCTGGGGTGAGATGGAGTCTCAGTGTTGTTTTAATTTGCATTTCTCGAATGGCCAGTGGTGCTGAACATTTTTTCATATATTTATTTCCCGTTTATATTTCTTCATCTGAGAAGTGTCTGTCCGCATCAGATGCCCATTTTTCGTATTGGGTCTTTAAATTTAGAGGTCGAATTTTTTGAGTTCTTTGTATATTCTAGATATTAGTTCTTTTTCTGAGGAGAACCTAGCAAAATTTTTTTCCCCATTCTGTAAGCTGTCTTCACTGTTAGTGGTTTCTTTTACTCTGTGTCTCCTGGTTTCATGAAAAGTCAGGTAAGCAGCTTAGCTTTTGTTTGGCAACAAGGAACTTTAGCATGAGTGATCCCATTTTGATTTTTAGTCTTATCTTTTGGGGCTAGGCCCAAGAACCTCATCCCAAACAATAGCCTGTTGTAATTTTTATTCAACAAAAATAAACTTTAAAACGCACTCATGTAGGAAGTAGAGACAGCAGCCCTCATGTCATCTTGGAATTCAACTAGTTTTTTAAAAAAAGGAAAAAAGACTTACAAGTATGATCTCTTTCATAGTCCAGTATCTCTCATTTAAAGGCCTAGGTAAGACTGTCAGCTCTAAAAGGCAGCTCCATATATTCCTGCAGTTTGCTATTTTCAGCAGCCAATATTGTGCCTGCTTGAATTCCCAAAATTTCTTTCAGAATTTTCTCTTCTGATTCCATTCTCTCATAAAATTCCAGATGGTGGTGCTGGAGCAGTCTTTGTCTGGTCCCTGGATGGTCATGGGTGAAGTTAAAGGGCATCTTGGTGAACTTCCTCCCCACAAAACCCTGTGTTCAGGCACCCTGGGAGTTTGATTCTAGCCATGGTGGTAATTTGACTCCAGCTTGATTTGTCTTCAGCTTTACCACATGGCTTCTCCGTGAGTGGACAAGACTTGCATGGCCACTGGTCAACTTGCCTCGTATTTTCTTGTTTCAGGGTCCTACGCGGGAGCTGTGGTTGCCATGCCCCTGGCTGGGGTATTGGTGCAGTACATTGGCTGGGCCTCGGTCTTTTATATTTATGGTGAGTGATTTGACTTCATTAGTTCACATGGTGACCTGTAGAGATGGTATTTTACTGTATAAGGCTTGGCAAAGAGTTTATTACTGTACGGGAGTAGAGCTTACTAAGGCAAATTGATCATATGGTGGAATACCTGTTTACTTGCAATGAATTTAATGTTTATATTAAAGTTGATATTTTTCAACAAGCAGAACAGTATCTTTCTTTAAGTGTCAGTTCACAACAGCAGAAAAATCAGCAAAATACTTTCTCTTGACTACATATATTGTTATGTAGGAATATGGTAAAAGTTGAAAGATTTAGAGATGAAAGAAGATGAGACCACATCATCAAAGTGTTTTGTCTTTCAATTATAGGTATGTTTGGGATTATTTGGTACATGTTTTGGCTGTTGCAGGCCTATGAGTGCCCGGCAGCCCACCCGACAATATCTAATGAGGAGAAGACTTATATTGAGACAAGTATAGGTGAAGGAGCCAACTTGGTTAGTCCAAGTGTAAGTAAATGCATTGACAAAGGCTTGCTTCTTTTCTATGGGTATTTCTCCTCATGATTATGCTATTCTCATAAAAATAAGATGTCAATCTCTTCACTAAAATATCATGATATTTTTACCCCCTAGAAATTTAATACACCGTGGAAAAGATTTTTCACCTCGTTGCCAGTGTACGCAATCATTGTGGCAAATTTTTGCAGAAGCTGGACCTTTTATTTGCTGTTAATAAGTCAGCCTGCTTATTTTGAAGAGGTCTTTGGATTTGCAATAAGTAAGGTAAACACACAGAATCTTCAAATATTCTTGAACTTTCTCTTTTTTTTAACCATATGGCCAGAAGATTTATTGTTTCATTAATAAGCATTCTATGTACTTTGAGATGGTTAAAAGTTATTTCCAGATTACTGCAATAAATATTTATCAAAAGTAGCAATCATCTCAATAATCATATAGACTTCTCATCACTGAAGACTTCCAGCTCTTTTAAAAAACTTACAAATGTCACGAATAAGCTAAGTAATGGTCTTCACAGGATGAAAGAAAATTCTGCTGAGGAAACTAACAAAGCACTTTCCCCTTCCCGCTTTTTTTTTTTTTAGATACTGGGAATTGAACTCATGACCTCAGGCTTGCCAGGCAAGCACTTATGCTGCTGAGCTATATCCCTGGCTCCCTGTCCCACTTTTGATTCATATTTTCCATAGATGGCTAGCTTTGCTTTACAGTGCTTCATCTGAGAGGGAATGTAAGAAACTAACAGTTTTAGGAGAAAAACTGCTTTTATAAAAACCTCCAGTGTAACCAGGCATGGTGGCACACACCTGTAATCCCAGCACTTGGGAGGCTGAGGCAGGAGAATCATTATGAGTTTGAGGCCAACCTGGGCTATATAAGTGAGCTCAAGGCCAGCCTGAACTGCATACTGAGACCCCGTCTCAAAAAGACAAAAACCAGCAACAACAACAACAACAACAAAAAACCCAGTGTAAGCAACAGCAGGTTTTTCTAATGATATCAAAAGGAAGAGCTGAGAAAAGCCAGCCATGTATTCAATTAGACATTAATACGTATGCAGCGAATCCTCAGCAACTGTAAACATGTTGCTTGTGTACTTTAAAAAGTAATAAATTTCATGCTTTGAACATTTTATCTAGTCATTTTAAGGATATGCTGCTTTAGGAGATTCAAAAGGAAAATACATACACACAATTCCATTGGGGATTGCCAGGGTGACTAACACCATGGAGTGTCCCCACATGTCCTCACCAGGCCCACAGCGCTCCTGTGAGGACAGCACTGAGGAGCAGAGCAGATTAGTCCCCCAGGTCTCTATTTCCAAGGCAAATGCAAAAGCAGCTCCTGATCCTACCAGGAATATCTCTGTATGATCATAATTCATAGCGGTTCAGTGATACTTAACACCCGGGAGGTCAGACAAGTTGCACATTCTGTGCAGAGTATGCCAGCTTTTTGATTTCTTCTTAACAAGGATCAGAGCTGCATTTAGCTGCTTTTAAAGATTTAGTTTCTACCCAATCTCAAAGTGTGTTTGAAGCTCACTCAAGGACTGCGTATCAGACCAGGATAAAAAGATTTGACAGCGAGGGTTTCATTTCTCTCTGTAAATGTAGTGAGTACCAGAAAGAAATGTATTCTGTAGCTCATTTTTGCAGCCACCCTGTCTCTGTGACCGTGACTGTAGCAGTAACCACCATTACTTGTGCTGATTTAGAAAGAGCTATTTTCAATGTCTTCAGCCATTGTCATTAAACTGTCTGTGTCTCACGGAGGGGGGCTCTCAGTGGGGAGATAGAAACTATCATCAGAGAAGAATAAAAGCTCCTTCCAAAAGCACAGGACAGCAGCATAGCAGAGGTGGATGTCTACATAGCTACAGGTACTGTCAGAAGAGGTCACAGAAGACCTGGCTGCCATCTGGAGCAGGCACCACGTACCAGGGCTCTTTTTTCCCTGTGTCAGGCTGTTGGGGCCTTGGAGATGCATAAAAGCCAACTCTGCCCTCAGGGAGCTTCTAATCCATGGAGGAGACAGTTAGGTCTATACTATATAGTGCTTGCTCATTCATTGCTGGATTATGACTAAAATCCCCAGATGCCACGCTAGGTGACTAAATCCGGTGGTGGTCCTGGGACGGTGGCATGTGGGTAAGCAGGGAGCAGGGAGGCGCATCTCTCATCAGAGTCAAAGGTGCTGGGTGCTTCTTTTCCTTCCAGGTGGGTCTCTTGTCAGCAGTCCCACACATGGTGATGACAATTGTTGTGCCTATCGGAGGACAACTGGCTGATTATTTAAGAAGCAGAAAAATTTTGACCACTACTGCTGTCAGAAAGATCATGAACTGTGGAGGTACTGTGGACTTCATGGTGGATTTGGGCGGCTTCTGTAGGATTAAACAAAACCGCAGACCTATTTGAGAGGTGATGTCCAGTCAGGGAGATGAAGGTAACAGAAAGTGACTTCCTGGAGCGGCAGATCCTGTGCAAGGTCGGGCCAAGCTCTTTGCTGGTGCTCTTCGTCACCCTTTGCAGTACCTCTCCAGTGCACGTGGGTCCAGCTCGAGGGGGTGGGAGGCAGAGGATAGCATGGCCTACGGGTGGGGTGTCACAGCTGGGGTACTCCAGGGGCCAGGAGGAAATGGGCATGATCTCACTCTGGGTTAGAAGGGTCTGGTCCATTCAGAAGAGAAGACTGCGTGAGGGACACAGGAGCAGGCATGATCTGACCCCTCCGTGTATCTTGGGAATGGAGCTTGACCAAAAAGTTGGGTGTCCCAGCAGCACCAGGGATGCTCGGGTCTGACTTCAGCTTGAACATTTGTGTAGGAGATGAAATGTTGGCAAGCGCAGCTCTGCTCTCTGAGAGCAGGAGATGAAGCTGTGGAGCCCTGAACCCAGCGTGCTGTCCAGGGTGGCTACCGTAGGGGTAATAATGTCCATGTCCTACTTCACACAATCTCTGAGTATATTTGCTCACAGGTCCAAGGGGACTGTAGATTCTTAAACAAGGATCTTGAGATGGGGAGCTGTCTTAGTCCCTTTTCTCATTGCTGAGACACAGTACCTGACACCCACAAGTTAAAGGAGGAAAGGTTTACTCTCACAGTGTATAGAGGTTTCAGCCCACAGTCAGCTGGCTCCTAGGCAGGGTGGCCTGGCAGACGGCATCGCAGAGGAGAAGCAGCTCATGGCCATGAGAGGCAGAGTGATAGGTTATGGAGGAGCAGGACGGAGACTCCAGCTACAATTCTAGTGACCCGCTTCTTCTGAGCAGATCCTACTCCCTAACAGCGAGTCAGCTACAAGCCGCGTAATCTGGTCACCTCCCCAAAGCCCCACTGACGAGTGCATAAGGCTTTGAGGGGAGATCGAGACCTAAACTGTACCTGGAACTCAGCCCACATTATCTGGGTGGTGCAATGGAAGGGCAAGAATTCTTATAATAGGAGGCAGAGAAGAGCTCAGGGGTCAGAGTGATGCGGCCACGGGCCAAGAAATACAAGTAGACTCTAGAAGCTGGGGGAGGCCCTAGCAGATCCTCCTCCAGAGTCTGCGGAGTGAACACCGCCACTGACAACCTGCTCAGCTCAGTGCGACCCATGTACGACTTCTGAGTTCTCGAGCTCTGAGACATTAAGTTTGTGTGGTTTAGAGTCACTAAGTCTATGGTCATTTATTTCAGCAGCAATTGGACACTCGTACAGCACCCCCAGTCTTTCCCCGCTAATATGCAAATTTGACACTGGCTTATCGGCCTCCCCTGAAAGCCCTGAATATATCTCTCTGTCTCTGACGTTATGCTCACTTCTTTGCTCTTTACTATGAGTTCTGCTTATCTCTGCTTCTCAGCCGGTCTTCTCGTTACATCCTTCCACATTCAGCTCAGGTCTTTTCCTCTTGTGCTTAAAACCACATTGGCCTTCAGTGATTCCTGTGTCCACACACCGAGGGTGGCCCTGCACCGTGTGCTTCCTTGTTATTACTCTTGCTGGAAGGTGTTTCAGGCAGAAAGAAAAGCAAGTGCAATGGCCCCGTGGCAGGCATGAGTACGGTGTGTTGGAGAGTAAAAGGAAGTTGGGGCTGGGGATTTAGCTCAGTGGCACAGTGCCTGCATGGCAAGCACAAGGTCGTGAGTTCGATTCACAGTACCAGAAAAAAAACAAAACAAAACAAAAAAAAAAGAGAGTGAAAGGAAGGAAGGGCAGAATGTTTGGATGGGGTGGAGAATCATGGGAGGTGGAATGGAATGCTCATCTTGGGGCCAAACCATGGGGGAGCTTATAGACTAATGTGCTGATACAGATCTGGATTTCCCCCAAATTTCATGTGCTCAAAGGTGGGGGTTTTGCAGGGTAATTGTTATGGTTTGTGTCTGGATGTCCCCCCAAAGCCTCATGCAGTCATGGGGTGGGCTTTTAGAGTTTATGATTAATCCGTGATGGGATCATGGGTGTGAGTACTACACCTGCCCTTGGGGTGGGTAGTTTGCATAGTAAGGGAGGGAAAGAGGCTGCTTGAGGCTGCTCCTACCTTTTGCTCTTGTTGCTTTTGCTATCTTATGCCACCATGAAAGGTTGCCCTCTGCCATGTGCCACTCTGCCTTGGAGCCAGCTGATTATGGACTAAAATCTCCACAAACTGTGGGCTAAATAAACCTTTCCTTCCTTAATTCTGGGCATCAGGTATTTTGTCTCAGCAATGAGAGGAAAGTAACCAAGACAGTGGTTAAATCATGGGGGCTACAGTTAAATGTGATGTTAGCAGTTTTATAAATGCATCCGTTATTCAGTTGTGTTTCTATTGACCGAAATGATCTACTAAACCTGAAACTTGGAAGAAAATCTTGGTCAGAAGAGGGAGTCATTGGGGGGACGTGGGGAGCATGACCCCGAAGGGTGGGTCTCCCCTCCCTTCTCCCTTCACTCTCTGCTTCCTGGTGGCCGCAGTGTGAGCAGCTCTTCTCCTCTTTGTCCCTCTGCCATTTATCCTGCTCCGGAGCCCTGACCATGGACGTGACTGTGACCAAAATAAATCTCTCTTCCTTGACATTGTGGATGTCGGCAGAGGTTGAGTTTTATGTGAGGACCATTGGAAAGTGTGTGTTTTAAAGCTGGGAAAGGACACAAGCTGATTTAATTTCCAAATCTGGGAAATTCGTGGGGCATAAAAATAAAAGGGGAGAGCAGGAAGAGGCTACTTCAGGAAGGCAAGAGAAGATGGCGGCTTGAGCTGAAGGCCATAACAATGGAGGTGGAGAAAGATGGGTTGGTTTCTAAATTCTCTGAGTCAGCTTTCTTCTTTGAAATCCACATAATGACACCCACTTCGTAATTGCATGTAGTGTGGTATCCAACCTACTGAAGGTTCTCACCAAATGTTGCTGCCTTCTTCCTCTTCTATGTTCAAGATGCTGAGAAAAACAGAACTTTTCCAAAAGGAGGCATTCAACAAATACCTGTTATTCCATTGTGTTTCTGTGGACCAGAATGATCTTCTAAAACTGCACCTTGAGAGAAAATCCTGGATTTAACACAAGTCTCATAACCTCTTCTGAACCCAGATACCTTGAAGGTCTTGAGCACATTGTGGAAATGTCTTCTTCACATCTGATTCTGCCCCAATACTTCTGCCGTTGTCTCTCCATAGCTGGAGATGGTGTTGGATGGTGATGAGGGTTCTCAGGCTTCCGAGCCCTAACAAAGTCCCTGTTGAGAGAAAACCTGTCTTTCTGCTAAAACTGGAATGCATATGTGAAATCTCCCAGCACCTCTCCTATCTTTTAAAAGTACCATTCACTTGCCTTTTTGCACTGTTTTACATTTTGACGTAGTAGGGGCAATGCATTCAACACAGAAATTGTAAACAAGAAAGAAAGAAAAAGAAAGAAAGTCCCACTTTGTTTAAATATAGAGGTACTAGACCAGAGGTCACTACATGAAACCAGAGTTTTGGGCCATCTCTGAATAATCCAGATTTATTTTAATATCATAAGCCACTTGCCACTATTTTTTTTTTTTTTATAAAATTTTAGTTGTTTTGACATTTCCTAAAAAGAGATGTGGAGGACATTTCTCCTCTGAGAAGGCTCATATGTGTTTTGGAGCTACTGCACCCCTTTTTTCTTGCCACAAACAAGGGATATGCGCCCTTACTAGCATTTAGAATAGACGTATCACCTGAAGACATGATGTCGCGTCCTACTTCCTTTGAGTGAGGGTACATTTCTGAGTGCCTCAGAGGCAGATGCCAGGTTCTCACACTCCTGCTGCAGCCTGTGCAACGTGTAACGGAAGTGCAGAGTTCTACCCTGGCTGAGTCAGCTGTCCATGTGTCACACTGTTTTATATGAAATGACCTCTTTCTTAGGTCTCTAAATCCTAGGGTTGCTTCTCTTGTCAACTCCGAAAAGGTTCACTTTTAAGGATCTTTTGGTCATCTGTGAGGTTTGAATTTTATCACTGAGCTCCTGAAATATACCGCCCTAACAGTAGTATTTTAACCATCAGTAGGAACCAGGTGAGCTCTTGAGCCCGTTTTCTTACTTTGGAAATCTGCTGTCTGACCAAAAACATTTTTTTTTTCTTATAGATAAACCAATAAATATCACTTGTAAGCTTTATTCTTCACACAATGTCTTCATCCTAATTCCTTGAGGAAATTAACCTTCTGGAATCACCTTTTTTATTTTTCAAATTATTGTCTTTAAAATAAAAAAAATTTTTAAAAGATAAAATATAATGTCTTGAGAAACAGGCATTTTTAAAATAAAAATTATTGTTTTTCTCAAAAAAAGGAAAGTATTAAGAAGCACAGTTGTTATTAAAGATAGGCCATTTTCAGTCTTTGCCTGTGTGTAATTTAAAATGTTGAAACAATATTCAAAATAAATAGCAAGGGTGTAAAACACACTATTTTTGGTAGGGTTGGGGATTAAACCCAGGTCCTTGTGCATGCCAGACAAGCGCTCTATCACTGGGATGCATTCTCAGCCCAAGCCAACACTAGAAAACATGATATTGCTTTGATACTTTCTTTTGATCTATTTTATTTTTTTATTTTTGTTTTTTTCCGGTATCAGGGATCGAACTCATGACCTTGCACTTGCCAAGCAGGCGCTGTGCCACTGAGCTAAATCCCCAGCCCCTTTTGATCCATTTTAGATGTTCATATAAAATAGTTATTCGTACTTGCTATTCTCTATGGTAGTTTTTAAGAAAAAAGGTTCAGAAAAGCAAGTAATTTAGCCAAGATCTACAATAAGTGTGGTACCTTGTATTTCAACATGTATTTTTTTTAAACTGGGGATTGGTCTGAGGGCTGCATTCATACTAGGCAATTGCTGCACTACTGAAGTACATCTCCAGTCCTTTATTTTATTTTGAGACAGGGTCTCACTAAGTAGCCCAGGCTGGCCTTTTACTTGGGATCTTCTTGCCTCAGCCTCCTATGTAGCTAGAGTTGCAGGTGTGCTCCACCATGTCCAGCTTTAAACTAAATATTTTGATTTTCCTTTCCTTGGCTTTAATTCATTAAGTATTATTTACTGATTTTTTTTTTTTTTTTTTGAGATGGGATTTCATTATATTGTCCAGGCTGGCCTTGAACTGGTGATCCTCCCATCTCAGCCTTCTGAGTAGAGTAGCTGGTTTTATAGGCAGTGTCACATGTTATTTATTGAGTGCCTACTACATGTTAGATAGAGTCTGTGTTCAAAGTACAATTTTGTGGGAGAGGCAAAAGCACAAGTAAAAAATTACAAAGTAATGTTGAAAAGTTCTACAAAATAAGTAAGAAGAAGGAGAGGTCCACTTCCTTGGTTAAAGGTATGGAAGAGCTATCCAAAAAGTTTTCTAGTGGAAGCAATAGTTGAGCCTGACTTTAAAGGACAGTAGATTTCTCCAGAAAAAGGGAAGATGATACAGGAAGAGCATCTCAGGCAGAAGAATAGCCAGTGAAAATAGGCACAGGAGTGAGACATGTTGTGGGATGGGGACAGAGTTGTAGAACTGTGGACACAAAGCAGAGAGGTGTACTAGGTTGGGATGGGGTGGTGAACACAGGTGTGCAGACTGGGAGGAAGGAAACAGGAACAGCAAGAGGGGCCATGTAGAGCACTGTGCCCATGATAGAGCCCTTGGAAATGTTTCGAGCAAATAAGGGGCCAAGAAAGTGTGTGGTTGAGGAAAAGTGGTGTGAGGAACGATCAGAAGAGGAGGGAGAAGAGGAGGAAGAGGAAGTGGAGGAGGAGGAAGACCACCAAGGAGGCTCCTGCAGTTGTTCAAGTGAGCCGCATTGGGGCCCGGGAATAAGGCAGTGGCAGGGCTGGTGTCTTAGTTACTTTTCTGGTTGCTGTGACAAAATACCCAACACCCACAAGTTAAGGGATGAAAGTGTATGTAGCTCACACTTTGTGGAGGTTTCAATCCATCATCAGCTGGCTCCAAGGCAAGGTGGCACATGGCAGAAGGGGCAGCAGTTCATGGTGGCGGAAAACAGCAAAAGCAACAACAGAGGAGAGAGAGACAAGCCTTTTTCTGTCCCTTCTATTGTATCCAGTCTACTGGTATGAGGGGGCTGCCAATCCAATCAGTGGATTGATCCAAAAGTCACCTACCCCTAATCCCAGCACCCTTAATCTCAGCATTGCACTGCAAATCAATCACGCGCTAGATTCAGCCACCTCCGAGAAAATTCTACGACCACATGAGGCTTTGGGGGACATCTAGACACAAAGCATAACAGCTGGGGAAAGCAGAAGTTGTATTAAGTAGATATTTTTGAAGCTGGATCCAGAGATTTTAATGTGAAAAGTGAGAAATAAGAAGTCCAAGACGATTGTGAAGTTTCTTTTTTGGTTTTTTTCCGGTACCGGGAATCGAGCTGATGACCTTGTGCTTGCCAGGCAGGCGCTGTGCCGCTGAGCTAAATCCCCAGCCCTGATTGTGAAGTTTCTGCATTGGACTTCTGGCTACTGTGTGCTGAGCTGTGCCCGTGTGCCAGGCACAGTGCCTCATGTACTCAATTCCATGTAATTCCTGGTGTCCCGCCGGGCAGTAATATTATCTTTTTTTTTTTTTTTTTTTTTTAATCAGGAATGGAGATGAAATAAGTTCAAAAACGTCACACAATTAGTGATTCTGAGGCAGAATCTGAAGCCAGGCTTGTTTGAATCTACTGCCTGGGTCTTACACTCAAGCAAATAGAGGAGTGAGAACTTGGTGGTAGCGGTTTGCTTATCTATTTACTTGTTTATTGATTTTGGAGTAAAAAGTAGGGGAACTTGGACTTGATTTGTGCGTGTTGACTTTGAGGTCTCTGTAGGACGCTTGCCTGGAGATGCCCGTAATGGGCAGTCTCCAGAACAAAGCACGGGGTTTTCACACCATCCTGCTCTCTGCTGTTGGCTGATTTGGGGGAGGGGTGTGTGTGAGAAGTTCTTCTCCATAATTTTTTCTTTTTTTTTTTTATTGTGCTGGATTCACTTATTCTGAATAAAAGAAACAAAAAGTACCCTTGCCCATTTGTATTTTTTGTGCAGTCACCTCATTTAAAAAAAAAAAGAGGCCTAAGAGCTTGGTAAACTAATGAAAGGAAAGAATTTCATGTGTACAAGCAGTAAGGTGCTGCTTTTTACTTTAAATATTTTTGAAAGCTTTCTGATTGCTTTTGGCAACAGATGTTAGTGTTGTCTGTTACTTATATGTGAGAGGCCATAAGCTTTTAGGTCAAAGGGGGAATAATTGATAGTACAAAGGAGAGTTTTAGGATTTAGATACGGCAGGGGCACTACCCATGGGTGGACTAATAGCATCCTTCATCCCAGGAGCACCGCTGGACCCTCCCGGGACCATGTGGTATTAAAAGTGCACCAGGATGATGGTAGCACGTTCACAGAACACCCAGGTAATATTAGCATAGCTGTGCAGTCATCCAGTGTCTGGGTCTTACTGGAAGCACTGTGTCAGAGTGTATGCACTGACAACTTCAGTCTGTGGAAGTACAGCTTAATTCTTATTTAATCACTTAATAACTTCCGGCCAAGTGACATTTGCCCCCTGGCTGTTTCCCTTTTCAGGTTTTGGCATGGAGGCAACATTGCTCCTGGTGGTTGGCTTTTCCCATACCAAAGGGGTGGCGATCTCCTTTCTGGTGCTTGCTGTAGGATTCAGCGGCTTTGCTATTTCAGGTAACGCGTCCGTTCTGTCTCTGAGTCTTGTGTGTGGGTCATCGAGTCTTAGGTGGGAGGAGGACTCAGCCTGTGTCTGTTGCGTGTTCCTCCAGTCGCGGGCCATTCCCAAGGAATTGGGCCGCTGCCCAGTTTCGTCCAGTGGGCGGGACTCGTGGAGTCACCGGGGGTTGGTTTAGGAGCCCTCTGAGTTGGGATTGACCCTACTTACTCTGTCGTGGGGAAAGACCTGGGTGATTTCTCTAAGGCCCAAGCAGAGGCCCAAGCATGCATCCGGCGTCAACACCATGTCACCCTACCTAACCGAGACCTTTGTGACCTGGAGTCCTCAGTGTCTGTCAGAGAAGCGCTCGCGTTAACTCACACAGGCACAGCCCCGGGGGTTTTGTCTAGGGGAAAGCTTCTTTAGCTCTTGTCTACTCTGCTACCTCTGCTTCCAAACAACAGAATGCAAGGGCAGAGAAGGGAAGTGACTTTGAGAATGGGGCACAGCAGGCGGGGATAATAACAGTAACGTCACTGTCACATCTACCCTAGAGGGGATCAGTGCCACTGGACCCCCTTTTCCAGGAGCAGAAACCAGCCTACTGCATGGGAGAGACCGAGGTGCAACCGTGTCACATCTGACAGACCTCAGAAACTCCCTGTGCAAAATGAGGAGAAACTGAAATTCAGTAGTTTGCTTTTAAAACACTGTATAAGAAGGGGCTGGGGATTTAGCTCAGTGGCAGAGCGCCTGCCTGGCAAGCGCAAGGTCATGAGTTCAATTCCCGGTACTGGAAAACAGCCCCCCCCCCCAATAAAACATTCTTTAAGAAATTGTTACAGAAAATTTACATAATTGCATCTATCTCATCACATTATGCATATAGGTAATACTGCATTTTGCTGATTTTTCACTGATAGCTACTAAAGTGCAGAAATACTGGATTCTTCCCTGATGTCCCAAAGTTGGTGGCAAAAGAAAGTCAAAAGCATAGTTCTGCCTAGCTCCAAATCTTCTCTTTCCATTAACACATTATTTATTTATTTATTTATTTATTTATTTTATTTGTCTTTTTGAGACAGGTCTCATTATACAGTTCAGGCTGGCCTTGAGCTCACTTTGTAGCCCAGGCTGGCCTCAAATTTGCAATGATCCTCCTGCCTCAGCCTCTTGAGTGCTGGAATTGCAGGCGTGTGCCCCCAAGCCCAGTTTAACCGAGGCTAGTTTAAATATCAGATAGACTGGTAATGTTCTAGAACTAATAAATGGGGAACTTCTGGTCTTATATACGCTAAAGTGAGGGGTTAATGTCTATATTATAAATAGAGCTGATGAATAGTTAAATCAGAAAACAAAATGAAGCAAGAACAATAACAAAAACAATGAACCAAAGTTCTACTTTCAAACAGCTGAGAACCTGGGTTTGAAGTACACAGACCTGGGTTGGGGACCTTTCTTGACTACTTACTATTTATCAAAGAAAACACTAGCTACATGATTTAAATTCTCACCCAGAGATTCGGGAGCAACTTCATAGGGTCTTTGGGAAAATGAACTGAGATCTTCTGAGATCAGCTAGGCCCTGTCCTCAGCCCTGGGGTCCTGCATCGAGGAAATCAAAGATGTTTCCTCATAATGTTTCCATTACACTGGAAATGATGTCCTTGAAGTCCTTAGCACAGGGCCAGATGCGGAATGAAATTAGTAGGTATACCCTATTATTACTCTTTGTTTTGTCTTTTTGAGACAAGGTCTCGCTATGTAGTTCAGGCTGGCCTTGAGCTCCCTTTGTAGCCCAGGCTGGTCTCAAACTGGCAATGATCCTCCTGCCTCAGCCTCCCCAGTGCTGGGATTACAGGCGTGCGCCACCATGCCCAGCTTATCATTGTTCTATTTTTGTGCACCTCTGCCCAGCACTTCTCAAATTTTAGTATACATAAACCCCGCTAAGATTGCACAGAATGCAGATCCTGGTGCGGTAGGTCAGATGGAACCTGAGATTCCTCATTGCCAGAGAGCTCTGCTGCGATGCCCACTGGTGCCCACATTTGGAGCAGCGAGGGTGGGGCAGCGGTGACTGCTTCCGGCAGGACCCCAAGAGGCCCTTTCCCTTAATAACTGTGGTGCAAAAGATGTTCATATCCTTTCTCCCGAGATACGGAAGTGTTGAGGTTCACGTCGCTTCCTTTCTCCTGGACTGCTGATTAAATCACAATCTGCAGAGAAATTCAGCACCCACAAGCACAGCCACTACCTTGTTTTTCAAAGAGCACCTACTAGGTCCTTGCTGCTTTTTAAACCTGACCCCTGAACTCCCATCCCGATTCTTTTTATTTTTTGGTACCAGGAATCAAATTCAGGATCTTGCACTTGCTAGGCAGGCACTTATGCCCCTGAGCTATATCCCCGATCCTCCTATCCCAATTCTGTGAGAAGAGCATTGTGGTGTCCACTGTACAGATGAGGAGATGAGGCCCCAAGGGTGAGCTAAGTTGCCCAAGTGAGTCAAGCCGCTGGGCTTGGAGTAAGTCTGTCTGATGCAACAGAGGCACTGTGGGAGGGGCCTCCTGCCGGCCAGTTTACTAAGGAATCAGTCGGGATGCTGGGAAGACTGGAGCTGACCGGGCTGGGGGTGGGGGTAGGGGTTGGGGGACGACGACGACACAGCCTGGTGGGTGAGGTTAGGAAGATGCGAAGGGCGCTGATGCTCCATGTGGGAGGGTCCCGTCTAGAAAAAGACTCTTGACGTGGCTGTTTTTCTCATCTACAAAATCCTGTCAGTACCTCACCGTCTCAGTGATTGGGTAACCGGAAACCTGAGGGGCTTTGCTCTAGCTGAATGCACACGCCTGGGTTCTGTATCAGAACACAATGCTTGGCATACTTGGCAATCATATTAATTGCTTCTTATCTCTGGGTTCTTTTCTAAGAAAGTATTTATCACCTTTGAATAAATGGTGAGATTAATTATTCTTGCAGCTGTTTCATATTCTGATGGTCTGGCACTTTGATCTGAAAGAGATGGTATATTCATAACAAAAAATGTTTTCTCAAAAATTTTCCCTGAATTGAAGTAGGAGAAAAAAACAAAATCAGTCAACCAATGTGTCAGGTTAGAAAAAACCTACTTTAAATCCCAAATCCAGTTTTTTGTTTTCTTTTTTTGCATGAATCTATAATTAATTCTCTAAGTAGTAAACAAAGGAAAACAAAAATGTGAAGAAACAAATTCCACAGTGCCTTGCTCTAATTTCAGTAGCTCAATTGGTAATGAAAGAGCTATTTAGTGAGTGACACTTTGCTAGTTCAGGGAAGGTGGTGATTTCGTGGGATTTTTTGGGTTTTTTTTGCTTTTGGTTTTTTTTTTTGAGATAAGGTCTCATTATCCAGTTTAGGCTGGCTTTGAACCCACTCTGGAACCCAGGCTGGCCTCGAACTCACAGTGATCCTCCTGCCTCAGCCTCCCAAATGCTGGGATTACAGGTGTGCTTCACCATACCTGGCTAGGGGAAGATAGTGGTAAACTAGATGATGGCTCACACCTAGGAGAGCATACAAGTTGGCTTTCACCTCTGTGTACCACGGAATTAACACACATTATTTAACTTAATTTTTTTTTGAGACAGAGTTTCACTGTGTAGTTCAAGCTGGCCTTGAACTTACTTTGTAGTCCATGCTGGCCTTCAATTCATGGTGATCTTCCTGCTTCAGCGTCTTAAGTGCTAGGATTACAGGCTTGCATGCCCTCGGCTATTTAATTTAATTCTTACAATAATTTCATTAGAACGATCAATCCAATTTATAGATGAAGAAACTGCAGTTCAGGACGTTTTAGTACTTAATCTAGGTTTGTATCTCACTTAAGCTGCCGGAGCTGAGTTCTGTTTGACTGTAAAGTGCGCCCCTGGGAGATACAGGCAGAGCTGGTTTCCAGCCGTTTACGCCTCTTGGATATCTTGGTCTTCCTCTGATTTCACTTTTCCTCTTGTGCTCCTGATAAATAGATCAATAGCAAGAGGCCGGTGACTTACTATTTTACCACTTCTAGCAGCAGCATCTTTGCGGGAAGACCCCATCCGTAGGAGGCGCTTAGCTTTACCAGGAACAGCAGCATTTGGAGCTGGGGTGCGGTGCGGTTACTGTAGCTTAGCTATTTGCCAACGGCTCCCACAGATGCGCTTCCCCTGAGTCTTACGCCGCAGCACCCGTGGGAGGTCAGTAGCAGTAGGGTACCCAGATCCGAGATGAGAAAGCACAGGCTGAAAAGTCCTTGATGACACAGTGGAAATAAGACTTGAATCCAACTGTGCAGGCTCCACGTCAAGTAGGCGTGCGAAAGTGCTCTTGTAAACTATAGAGGGCTCTGCCCCGACGTGTGCAAATGCTTCTCATCAGGAAGCATCCCTCACAGTTGTGCCCTGCAGCTCCAACGCAGACTCACTGACTGTAGTCTTTCAGGGATGAGTCAAGGGCTGGCCACGGGCATTTTATGAGGCAAGGTTTCATTCTGCAGCGTTTGACTGCTTTGAATGAATGTGGTCCAGGCGTTAGGATTTTCAGTATTGCCCCGAAGGCTGTATTCTCGAGTTCCAAATCCACAGGGCACAAGTGCTGTACCTCTCCCCACTGAGAACCCAGGTAGACATTGCTAATCGATCATAGATGCGGTGTTTTCCTGCTCGGTGCAGAGACTGCCTGGCAGTGCTCAGCACAGAGCTCGCTGTGGAGCCCCCGTTACCTTAATCTCCTCTAGAAGAAACCAGATAGATGGATGAGACTTGGGGCAAGCTGGAGATTCCCCAAAGGCATTTGGAAAATTCTGTTCCAGACTCTGATCTTGAGGTTTTGGTTTCACTCTAGGTTTCAATGTCAACCACCTGGACATTGCCCCTCGCTATGCCAGCATTCTCATGGGCATCTCCAATGGAGTGGGAACCCTCTCTGGAATGGTCTGTCCCCTCATTGTCGGTGCAATGACGAGGCACAAGGTAACGGCCTCCTTGGTGGCTGCGGGTGGCAGTATTAGAGGTCAGAAGCACTGCACAAATGGGACATCTCAGGCCCTACCCTGGCCTGTAGGTGTGTGTTCTTGACTGAGTCATTGAATGCCTTTATCCTCTTTTTCCTCCTTCCCGCCTCCTCCTCTTCTGTTCTTAGTTATTGTTTGTTAATGGCCCCGGGGCTGATGATTGTTTGGTTCCACATTTTCTTAACTGAGAAATAAAGCTTTAGAGGAGATGGACGGAGGCCATGGGAGATTCTTTAAGACACGAGAAGAAACTGAGGCAATCAACTCAGGATAAATGATTTACCCAAGATTATTTTATAATTCTAAGTGATTAAACTTTATAGCCTGTTTCCATCTATTGCTTAGCATGTTACAACATAAAAATATTAGTGCTGTTATACTTCCTTGTAAAGAAGAAAATGAACAAGACATTCCCTCCTCTTGCTGAGAACCTTCCAGGGCCGGGCGCTCAGTCCTTACCGAGCCTTTGCATACTTAGCCTGGCGCGGCTGGTGGGAGGGAGATCCTGTCCTGGGGTCTCAAGTTCAGCCACAGGCCACACACCGAGGCTCCGTCCTTGAAAAATGTCAGGTTCTGCTTTCTGAAAACAGAATTTTTTTTATAGCTTGAGGTTTTTTTTTAGCCTAACCATTTTCTTAGTTGCATTTCTTATTATAAGTATGATTTCAGAAATTCTTTAATCTTCTTAGAGAGGAAAATATGAGATGATTTTTCTTGTTTTTTGATAAAAGAAAGAAGGTAGTATTTGTGCACTTTTCCAGCAGAGGATACGCATTTTTCACCTCTGTTCATAAGGTCATAGGATTGGTAAGAAGTGTATCAAATCTAAGATACTGTCTTCCCCTAATTTTAAATACAAGTGCCCATCACTTTTATTTATTGCTTTTTACAGAAGATAGGATTTTGAACGAGCTTTTGGTAATCAAGTTTGAACAGTTTACTGGCCCCAATGTTGGGGTATATGCAACAGCAAGCAACCAAGGGGATCTCTGATATTTAAAATACCAGGGTCAGGGGCTGGGGGTTTAGCTCAGCGGCACAGTGCCTGCCTGGCAAGCGCGAGGTCGTGAGTTCGATTCCCAGTACCAGAAAGAAAGAAAAAAAAAATACCAGGGTCCTGAAGCAAGTTTAATTTAGCCTACTGTGTGAGGGCTGTGCAATGGTGTGAGATATATTTTTACATTAAAAAAAAATCAAAAGTTACTTTTCAAACTAAAAGTGCATTCACTGTAGTCGTAACCTTCCAATTTGCATACTCAAATTAGATGTGCGTCCTGAATGCTGCTTCTGACACGCATCCTCAGCAGTGTAGCATTGTTTTAGATGGTGAAGACAGGGCCTTTGTCCCCATGGAGGTTGTAGGACACACTTTTGAACCTCTTTGATGGTTGGAAGGCGCTAACTGGCTCTTTGTCTCCTTGTTCAGACCCGCGAGGAATGGCAGAATGTATTCCTCATAGCTGCCCTGGTGCACTACAGTGGGGTGATCTTCTATGGGGTCTTTGCTTCTGGAGAGAAGCAGGAGTGGGCTGACCCAGAGAATCTTTCAGAGGAGAAGTGTGGAATCATTGACCAGGATGAGCTAGCCGAGGAGACAGAACTCAACCACGAGACTTGCGTGAGTCCCAGAAAGAAGCTGTCCTATGGGGCCACCACTCAGAACTGCACAGTCCAGAGGGAGGCGTGGAGAATGCAGACAGCAGCAGCCCTGGAGGAGGAAGAGCCTCCGTCCTACCACAACGCAGAGGGAAACCTTTCAGATACACCCTAATGTCTGCTTCTGTCTCCTCCTCACCTTAGAACCAGAAAGTATCCATACCTATTGCTTCCCCCATAGCCTGGCTCACCAGGGGGCCAAACATGTGGACATTGGAGGGAGGAGGGGAGGGGACAAGATCAGTCCAGCATCAGAGAAAAAGGAAACAGTATCTTGCAATGACACTAGTGTGATGCTTGCCCTCAGTTGAAAAAACAGTTGATCATAATTATTTTTTTCTGGATTGGCAGTTGGTCTTTCTCTCAAAGAACTGAGCTTAGTCAGAAAATGAGCAGAAGAATAAGAAAGGCAATACCGTGTTGTTCAAAGAAATATTGAAGGAAATGGGGGTACTAACTGGGCAGGAGGACAGGAGATGGTAGGGGCCGCCACATCAGCCGTGTGGAGGAAGGTTTTCTGTTTCTAATAAAGGCCCCCACCCGCGGAGGCCCTCTGTTGTGCCAGGTGCTTTATAAACATTCATATTTAATCTCCGCAACCCCAGAGCACACATTTATTATCCTCATTTTACAACTGAAAGATTAACTTGCCCAAGGTCGTTCTGCCAGAGCTGCTGCTGAGGTGGGTGAAGCCCCGAATAACTGGTGGTTTAGGAAAGAGAGCTTCAGCTCAGTGTAAAGAACACCTTTTTTAAATCAAGAAAACTGAAGATGGAATGAGTTGTCTTGGAGGTAATGTGCTATTTGGGCAGGGGTCGGGGTGGGAAACATTCAGGCTGATTGGCTGAGGGAAATTAAACATTTCTTATATGAGGTTCTGGATTCAAAGACCCTTAGCATTTTATATTGCTGGAAGAGTCAGTGATTCTGTAAATTCACAGTTTTGTGGTTTTTTTTTATTTTAATAATAAGGATCACAGACTACATGAGAGGTTCAAATAGATTTAAAAGAAAAAAGGAGCTAAGCAAGATAGCCAGATTTCTAAGAATCCAATGATCAGAATGGTTGAAAAGAAGTAAAAAAGGATTGGTTATTAAATTTCAACTCTATAATATCAAGATTGTGACTAACATATCTTTAATCTTTAAGACATTTAATTCCTTCAGAAGTAAAATTCTATTGAAGAATCTTCTATTTAAAAAATATATTTAGCCTTTTCTGCTAAAGTTAAGAAGTTTGGTTAAATTGTACAAAATTACAGTTAAGTATTTAGGATGACTCCATTTGAAATGATATTCAGGGAAAGAACAATGATAGAAGTGGCCATACAGGAATATTCTAGAATAAAACATCTGAGACAACTGGATCTATAGTTGGTGTTGAAAATTTCACTTTTGGTCAAATTAGGTAATAACATGGATACTGTCTAGATATATTTAAAAAGGTAATGTTGGCATGTAAAAGGTTATTTGAAAGTAAAGTTATTTTCTTGTTCAATTATTTTGAAGATTTTATTTCTATTTTCAGAAGAAAAATTTAATATCATGGAAAAATTATAGATATACTTGTAGTCTGTTATGGTAAAGTGTTTTTTTCTAATTTCCCTGTATATATTTTGACTCCCTAGTTGTACCTGTGGAATTGTAATGTATTTTCTAAAAAGAATAATCTTGGATTAAAAAAGAATTGTCTGACTTTCCATTAAATGATATTCTTTATATTATTGATATACCATGTATGTTATCAGACATCTTTAAATCTCTTTAATAAGTGAATTAAATGTAAGTCTTTCAAAACAGTTCTTGGCATATAGAAGTGCTTAATAAATATGTATCCTCATCACTACCATCCCTTAGCCTTTTGGGGGGAAATTTCCAGATGTAAACAAAGCATGCTATGTCACTTGCATCCATTAACCACAAAACTTATTGTGAAAACCTGCTGTTTTCTAATTTTAAAAAAGTCATAAATTTATAGTAGCTAGTTTGTGTGTGTATTTTAATAAAGTAAAACAACAATATACGCAAAAAAACCTCATGAGAATCCTTAAGATAATTTTTTAGATTGTGAAAAAAAGCTGTATTTATCACATTATTTGAAATTGGTGTCATATGCAAATATTTCACACTTTACCCATAACTTACCTGTATAGTATTTTGTTTTAAAGATGGAGCTCTGGCCATGGTGTTAATTGCTAAAATGCACATTCCTTTGTTGTGATGAGTTTTTCTCTATTTGCATTGAATACCAGACAATGAGATTTGCAAATCTTTGTATGTTTTGCTGCAGATGTCAATTTGTAGAATGAAGGTGAAGGGTGGATTGTAGCAGGAAGGGAGGGAGATCTGAGGGTGTTAGATTCTTGAAATAAATTCTGATTGTCCTTTCCAGCTAGTGAAAATTTTGTGTATAGCTGAATATGATGAGAAAATAGTTATTCAAAAAATAACGGACCATTTGTTATCCTTGCCTGGATATTAAATTCAACAGGTAAAATTAGAGTTTACTGTTTCTATTTCATACTACCTCGTCCCAAGCCCACCAAACCTGTTCTTCTTTCTCTGGTCTCACTTCAGTTATTCACATCATGTTTTGCTCAAACTGGAACTCTTAGGCTCATTTTTGACTTAAAAATTCCTTCTCCCTCTTCTCTGATGAGTTCCTTTAACTTTCAATCTGTAAATCTATGTCTCACACAGTATTGGAAAAGTCCCAGCCTTATCTCTTTAAAAATTTTTAAAAAAAAATTTTAAAAATATGTTCAAATAAAAAGGTCTGTAGCCATACATGATGAGGCATACCTGTAATCCCAGCACTCTGGGAGGCTGAGGCAGAAGGATTGCAACTTTGAGCTTAGGCTGGGAAATATAGTAACTTAGCAAGACCCTGTCTCAAAATAAAAAATAAGAGGGGGGCTTGGGATGTAGCTTAGTTCAAATGCCCACGGTTCAATCCTTAGTTTAAAAAAATAGTTTGAGAAACTTATACCAAGATGCTATCTCATTAAAGAGATTGTATTTCTAGTTATAAACAAAAAAGTTAAGATTACAAGTGATTTTTCCAATTAGTCATACTTTGTATTGGTTACACAGACGAAGGGTTTCATTTTGGTAAATTTGTACATGCGCATACCATACTAAGATCCTTTCTACTCCCTATCACCCTCCTGGCCCCACCCTTTCTAAGGGTCACATTTTGGAGGCTTCAATGTGTACAGTTTGTTCATGTCCATCCCCCTGTGACTCACCTTTTCACCTCCCCCCTCCCACTTGTCTGATAATAATCTCCCTTCTGCAAGCTTCATTGTCATCTTTTTTTAGATTCCACATATTCCACATGCAATATTTGGCTCTGTGGGTCTGGCTTATTTTGTTCAACACGATGATCTCCAGATCCATCCATTTTCTGCAAATGACAGAATTGTGTTCTTCCTCATGGCTGAGTAATATTCCATTGTGTATATTTACTACATTTTCTTTCTCCATTCATCTGTTGTTGGGCATGCAGGCTGGTTTCATATCTTGACTACTGTGAATTATACTGCAACAAACAAGGGCATGCTGGTATCTCTATGGTATGCTGACTTTAATTCCTTCGGACCTATACCAAAGAGTGGTATAGCTGGATCAAATGGTAGCCTTATTTTTAGTGTATTTATTTTTTTGAGAAACCTTCATACTGGTTTCCATAGTGATTGTACTAACTTGCATTTCCACCAAGAGTGTGGAAGCGTTCCTTTTTCACCTGCATATTTACTAGCATTTCTTGTTTTTTTTTTTTTTGTATTCTTGACGATGGCTGCTCTGACTGGGGTGAGGTGAAATCTCAGTGTAGCTTTGATTTGAATTTCCCTAATGGCTAAGGATGTCGAATTTTTTTCCATATATTTATTGGACATTTTTACTTAGTTCATTTGCCCATTTCTTGATTGGGCTATTTGACATTTTAGTGTTATCTTTTTTCTCTGTGTTCTTTATATATTCTATGTATTAATCCTCTGCCAGAAGAGGAGCTGGTAGATGTTGTCTCCCATTTCATGGTCTGACTCTTCACTCTATTGTTTCCTTTGCTGTGCAGAAACTTTAAAATTTGTAGTCCCATTTGTTGATTTTTGCTATTATTTTTGGTGCTATTATAATCATATTCAGGGAGTCTTTACCTATGCCTATGGCTTCAGTGTTTTAGTCAATCAGTTTCAAAGTTTTAGGTCTTATATATATCAGTCATCCATTTTGAAATGATTTATATAGAGGGTGAGAGATATCTAGTTTCAATCGTCCATATGTAGATGCCCGGTTTCCCCAGCCCCATTTATTAAAGAGGCTGTCCTGTTCTCCAATATATACTTTCAGCATCTTGGCCAGAATCAAATGGCTATTGTGTGGGTGTATTTCTGTGTCCTGTATTCTGTTCTGTTCTGTTGATCTCTATGTCCATTTCCGTGTCAGCTCCATGCTGCTTTTGTTACTGTGGCTTTGCAGTATATCTCTAAATCGAGTATTGTGGGGGGCTGGGGATTTAGCTCAGCAACACAGCGCCTGCCTGGCAAGCACGACGTCGTGAGTTTGATTCCCGGTACCGGAAAAAAAAGAAAAAAAAAAAAAGTATTGTGAAGCTTCCAGCCTTGCTCTATTTGCTTAGGATTGCTTTGGTTATTCTGAGTCTTTTGTGTTTCTGTATGAATTTTGGGATTATTTTTAGTTCTATAAAGAATGTTAGTGGTATTTTGTTGAGGATTGCACTGAATCTGTAGATCACTTTTGGTAAATGGCCATTTTGACAATATTAATTCTGCCAGTCCATCTTTCTGCATTCTAGTGTTTTCTTTAATTTCTTTTTCAGTGTTCTGAAATTTTCTTTGTTGAGGTCTTTTACCTGCCTGGATAGACTGATCCCTATGTGTTTTATATTATTTGCAGCGATTGTGAATGGGGTTGTTTTCCTGATTTCTTTATCAACTAGTCAGTTATTGGTGTATAGTAAACCTGTCAACTTCTAAATGTTGATTTTATATCCTGATATATTGCTGAACTTATCAGCTCTAAAAGTCTTTTGGTAGAGTCTTTAGCATCTCCTAAGTAGAGGAACATATCATCTGCAGACAAGAATCATTTGAGTTCTTCCTTTCCTATTTGTATCCCTTTTATTTTTCCTCTTGTCTAATTGCTCTAGTTACATTTTTAAGAACTATATTGAATAGGAGTGGTGAGAGAAATCATCCCTGCCTTTTTCCTGAGTCTTTTAAGACAAAGACTCTCTCTTTATCCTCTCTCTCTTTCTAGAAGTCTCTAACCACCTTTTTTTGCTTTTTCCAGCCTTTTAACTTTATCTGTCATTCTGATTTTTTCAGATCTTTATTTCTCCTTTCAGTAAGGTCTAATCTGATACAAATGCATCCACTGTATTCTCCTTTATTTTTCATAGTACTGAGGGTTGGACCCAGCTCCATGCCCAGCGCTTTTTATTTTGAGACAGGGTCTCATGAAGAGGCTCAGTTGCCCAGGTTGCACTTGAACTTGCAACTCTCTTGCCTCAGCTTTCTATAGTGCTGGGGTTACAGCTGTGAACCTGCCCCTCTATGCCAGTTACTGGCAGTCTTCATTTCGGTTGTTGTATTTTCAGTTCTAGACTTTTTAATCGTCTTTCATTTCTGCTATGTCTTCATTACAATATATCCAGTTCTCTGCTGAAAATGCCAACCTTGTATTGTATTTCCAAGAATGTAGAAAGGAAGCATCTTCAAGTTTGATCAGCACCAATGTCTGCAGACCAAGGAACTCTGTTTCTATTTTTTGTTGATTTTGCTGGTTCTTCTTCATAGTATCTTATCTGGGCCTGTGCCAAGTTTTCCTGGATTGTATCAAATTTGCACTGGAAAATTGTTTGAAAAAAACATTTAAGGCTTAAAATAGTTCCTTTTCTTCCAAATAGGTTGATTTTTTTCTTCTTGGAGCCTGAAGGTGTCTTAGTCACTTCCCCATTGCTGGGACACGATATCCAACCCCTAAACTTGAAAAAGATGTTTATTCGGCCCACGTTTCAGAAGTTTCATCCCTTGCATGCTCAGCAGCACGGCTGAAGGGCCTGGGCAGGGCAAAGCTGCT